AACCCCTGAGGTCGACATTGCACTTGTCAGTGCCGCAGTCTTTAACAGGGCTTGCAAGGACGCTGGTATGGAGCCCATTCTTCTTCATGCTATCCACTCAGAGGTTGCGGCCCGCCGCCGCCGACCGCTCTTCCACTTCCTCCTTCCATCCCAGCAGAGTATGCTGAGTTTGCAGATGTCTTCGACGAGATCGCTGCAGATTCACTTCCTGAACACAGACCCTACGACTTGAAGATTGACTTGGAAGAGGGCGCTTCGCCGCCTCTCGGCCATATTTATCCTTTGTCTGAAAAGGAGTTAGTCGCCCTTAAAGACTTTATTGACAAACAGCTGGCTACTGGTGCTATCACCCCATCATCCTCTCCTCACGGCGCTCTGGTCCTTTTCATCCCGAAGAAAGACGGCAAACTACGCCTTTGCGTCGATTTCTGTGGACTCAATCGTATTACCAAAAAGGATCGTTACCCACTCCCACTCATTTCAGATCTTCTCGACGCTCTGAAAAGAGCTAAAATATACACCAAATTGGATCTCGCTCACGCTTATCATCTAGTCAGAATCGCTGAAGGTGACGAATGGAAGACCACCTTTCGGACCCGCTACGGCTCTTACGAATGGAAGGTTATGCCGTTCGGTCTTACGAACGCCCCTGCGGCTTTCCAGCAGTTTGTTAATGACATCTTCTCTGACATGCTCGATGTTTGTGTCATCGTCTATCTTGACGATATTCTGATCTACTCTGATACGACAGAAGAACACCAAGAACACGTCAAGGAAGTTCTTCAGCGCTTGTGGAAACATCGGCTTTACGCCAATCCCGAGAAGTGCGAATTCAATATGGATACTGTTGAGTATTTGGGTTATATTCTTTCTCCCGACGGATTGACCATGTCCAAGGAGAAAGTTCAGACAGTTCTAGAGTGGCCGGTTCCGAGGAAGGTTAAGGACATTCAGTCCTTCCTGGGTTTTGCAAATTTCTATCGTCGTTTTATCTATAATTATAGCGATATCGTTGTGCCGATGACTCGGCTTACCCGAAAAGGCGCTCCCTGGATCTGGGACAGCAGCTGTCAAGAGGCCTTCGAAAATCTCAAAACTGCTTTCACTTCTGCGCCGATACTGGCCCATTGGGAGCCGAATCGCCCACTTATCGTGGAGACCGACGCTTCCGATTATGCCATTGCGGCTATTCTTTCCATCCAATATGCTGATGGTGAAATTCATCCTCTAGCCTTCCTTTCCAGAACGCTTCACGTGGCGGAACTCAACTACGATACCCACGACAAAGAGCTACTGGCCATCTTCGAGGCCTTTAAAGCTTGGCGTCACTATCTGGAAGGTTCGGGTGATCCGGTGGACGTCGTCACCGATCACAAGAATCTTGAGTATTTCTCTACTACCAAGGTTCTCACACGCCGACAGGTCCGATGGTCAGAATTTCTACATCAATTTAATATGGTCATTCGCTTCCGGCCGGGAAAACTCGGCGAGAAACCCGACTCGATAACTAGACGCTGGGACGTCTACCCTAAAAAGGGGGATATCGGCTACGCCCAAGTGAACCCTCATAATTTCCGTCCTATCTTTACTAACAAACAACTCACTGCGTCTCTTCGAGCTACCTTCCTGGAAGGCCCGGCTTTACGAGCCTCGATTATTATGGATATCGAAGCCCTACACCAGGCCATCATCCTTGCCCTTCCCGCCAACCCGAGCTCCATTGTTGGTTTGGAACTTGCTAAAGATCCTTCCAATAAACATTGGAGCTTAGGTAGTGACAAGTTATTATGCCTTGACGACCGTATTTATGTCCCTAATCACGGCGATCTTTGCCTTCAATACAAGGAACAAGCTGACAGGAAAAGAATCTCGCATCCGGAGTTCCCGATCGGCTCCGAAGTTTTTGTTCTTGCTAAGCACATTCGATCTACTCGTCCTACTGAGAAATTCTCTGAAAGATATCTTGGTCCTTTCAAGGTCATCAGTCGACCTGGTACTTTGTCTTATGAGCTCAAGCTCCCGGACTATCTTCGCCGGATTCATCCGGTCTTCCACGTCTCACAGCTGGAGCCAGTTACGCCGAACCCTTTCCCGAATCGTACTCAATCTCCTCTACCTCCAATTGAAGTTGATGGTGAAGAGGAGTACAACGTTGCCGAAATCCTGGATTCCAAACTGGATAGAAGGTATAAACATTGTCCTCTACGTTACTATATTCAGTGGGCCGGTTACGAAGGTACCGACGATGAATTCTCCTGGGTGGCTGCTGACGAATTACATGCTGACAAACTGGTACCTGCATTCCACGCTCGATACCCTTTGAAACCTGGACCTTGATCACAAAAAATATTTTATTCCTTTTCCGCTGAGCTCCGCCGAAGGTTACTTTGTGCGTTTAGAGGGTAAACACGATGATAGCAAATTGAGTGTTTACTCCTCTTGCCTAATCGTTTATCTTGTTATTCAATTACTACTTCACTTAATTCTTATTTACCCTTAAACTACTAATACTTCTAACTAATTACTTCTTACGCCGCTTCGCGGCCCATTCGCTTTCCGATTTTAAAAACGCAATAACATTTTTATAGACAAACAAAAAACCAAAAAAGAAATTCATACAACAGGATAGGGGACTACAAGAAGACTACAAGAAGAGGCTGGAGCACCGATGTCCAATGTCCGATATTTCTACTCCACTGCTCTCTCTTTTCCCTTCTCCGAGGTCACCGTCTTCGCTGTCGTCGACGCCGGCGCCTCCACCTCTCCTTCCTCCTCTGCTTCCATCTCCTCCTCTTCTCCCTCTCCATCCTCCTTTTCCTCCACTTCTTTCTCTTCTTCTTCCTCTTCCTCTGCACTCTCCTCTACTATTCTCTGTCGCTTCAGCAGTCGCCGCCGCTCGGTCCTCCTGCTCGACGGCCCTGCTACCGCCGGTCCCTCTCCCATACCCATCATCGCCATCCTTGTCTCCATGGCAATAAGATGGGCATGGTTGTCTTCCTGCCTCCTCAACAGCTGGCGGAGGTATTGGTTGGATTCCAAATTGGCCTCCCGCAAGGCCCTCAGATCGGCGAGGCTCTGCGCCATCTGACTTTCCATGATGGCAATCCGCTCACCGGAACTGCCTTCTCGCTTCACCGTCGATGGTCGCCCCGAAAAGGAGCACTGCACCTTGGAGTCGTGACACGGTTTGCAGATGACGGAACTCCGCTTGCCGGCCTGCTGCAGGCAAGGGATCTTCTTAGCCTTGCACCTCTCACAAGGCTCCCTCTCCTCTTCGTCATCGTCGTCATCGTCACCATCGTCGCCGTTGTCCGGATCTCCACCCACTGGCTGAAAAGAATGAGGATAAGTATCACTATAGAAAAGAGGTATACAGTACTTACCTGCGCCGGAATTCCTTCTCTCCCTTTTCCTTTCTCCCTCCTAACTTCTACCACGGGCCTCCAAGGGGAGACCGACATCTCACTGGGCGAAGTACCCCTCTGACTTCTTGCTGTAGCGGCCTCTGCAAGTAGCCATCGTTGTTCTACGACCTCCGCGTCCTGCTGTTGAGCCCGACTGGCCTGATCCCGCGCCTCCTGTGCCGCCTTCCTTCTCGCCACACTAGCCCGAGCAGCAACCTCCTTCTTCCTCCTCTCCTCTTCTGCCTTTCTAGCAGCTGCCTCCTCTGCTGCCTTCTTCTTAGCAGCCTCCGCTGCCTTCCGTGCCTTCACCCTTTCGACCCTTGCTAGGGCCTCCCGAAGAATTTCATCCTCATCTTCATCAATCGGAGTGCCGGGCCTCGGGGGATCGGCGGGGCGGGAAAATGAGCTGGCAGTAGGTTGAGTGGTGGTAGTGGTATGGCTAGTGGTCATTGTTGACTTAGAAGTTTTTGGGAACTTAGGCCCTTGACGGCAAAACCCTGGGCCTTTTATAGGGCAAAACTGCGCATGGACCAGCGAAAATTTTCCTTCGAATTGTACTCGGCTTACGGTGAACCAACGAAATTTTCCTGATGACTAAAGGGACAAATGCCGATGCTAACGGGATATAAAATTTTTTCTCTGGTGACTAATAGTATTTCCCGATACTAATGGCTTTCGAGGGCTCAAGCCTAAGAGGGGGATACTGTCAAGTCCATGCCTCGGGCCCCCATTCCGCCGCTCGGTATTCCGAAGATCTACCTTTTATTGTAATCTCACTTCTTATTGTTCTTTCTCGCTACACATACCCTTTCGTTCTAGTCCCTCCTTATTGTCTTTTACTTTACCCTGCAGGTACTACTCGTATAGCTCCTAGTAGTTAGTCTGGTGCTCCGCACCGATGCGCTGATCCGTAGATATAAATACTGCCTGTACGCTACTGTAGTTCCTCAGTTTAATTATCAACTTAGATTGACTTAGATTCCCTCCTTAACTCTGTGCCCTTCTAAGTCTTCAGGCTCAGCGCCTTGAAGCACGTTCTACTCGACCTTAGGACTTGAATGTCCTCTGGTTTGCTCCTCGTCATTGGCAATACCGCCGCTCCAACTTGGCTGCTACTTAGCTCCTCTCTCTATACTCTCGATCTCCGGGGACTAACGGCGTAACAGCGGTGTTGTTAATAACTTCACTACTGTCCCACTCGTCTTCTGCACTTAGACACCTTGTGGGTTTGGCACGGTTACTCAGTGTACATGATCTTAACATGGGCGTGCAAGTCATCATTGTGTTCATGCCTGTCGGATTGGTTGCCCAATGAAGGGGCGTCATAAGCCTGGAACTCCACATTATAATCAAGTCCATCTTCGACCAGATGGTCCTCTTCCCCCTGAGTGTGCTCATGATGATGTTGATATCCGAGGACTTGAACGTCCATTTGTACAACAGTACCATGAAGATCTAGCTAAAGTTGTTCAATCTTGAGGACCAACAGCTTATGAACTTAATCGTAAAGCAACTGGGATTAGTAAACCATCTATTCTTCTGGGTCTTTCACAAGATCTTATGATCCCTGTTCCAAGATGCTTTTCTGTTGATCATATGCATCACTTGGGACTCAACTTTGGTGAACTCCTGATTCTACTATGGAGAGGAAAACTAGATTGTGGATGTACCGATAACAAGAACACATGGACTTGGGCTACTCTCACTGGGGAAACTTGGGAATATCACGGGAAGCTTGTTGCCGAAGCACGCAAATTTTTTCCATCATCTTTCCACCAACCTCCCCGCAACCCTGCTGAGAAAATCAACAATGGTTTCAAGGCAACAGAATACTTCCTGTATATTTTTTAGGCTTCTTTAGGGCCGTTCTTCCACGAGAAAACTGGAGACATTTGTGCAAAGGTCTACATGGAGCACGTACAATGCTACAATGCTCTGCAACTGGAAAAGAAATCCGGGAGGCCCGTATACAACTTGTTCAGTTTGTTGAGGAATACGAAGTAATGTACTACCAACGGCGTGTTGACCGGATGCATTTCTGCCGCCCCTGCATCCATACTCTTCTGCATCTCGCTTCAGAGATGATTAGAATTGGTCCAGGTGCAGTTAGCTCTCAGTATACCCTCGAACAACTGATCGGAGAATTAGGCCAGTCAATCCGCCAGCCTTCTAATCCTTTTTCCAATCTTGCTCAGCAGGCTCTGATCCGGTGTCGTATCAATGCATTGAAGCACATGTGCCCGGAGTTGGATCCTAAGTCTGTACTGCATCAACCAAAAGGATCTTTAGTTGTTGGTAATGGCTACATTCTCCTACAACCACGAAAGCATTCACCATCCCAGTTATTTTCACCCGAAATGGATGCATTGGAGGAAGCTGGGATCTATTCAAAACAAGTTCGTAAATGGGGGAGGTTGCGCTTACCCAATGGACAAATTGCACGCAGTTTGTACAGTGAAAGTGACAAAAACCGAGCCAATGTTAGGAATACACGAAATGTGAAAGTAAGGTCTTACTTTAAAATCTGCTCTGAGTTGATATATATCATAATTAGATCCGTGTGGATGGACTCAAAACCTATGCCGAGGTTTGGTATTATTTCTTGTATGCACAATGTCCAGATGATCTTACTGCATATGCACTGGTGTCTATCTACTCAGATCCTTTGAAGGAAGTTCTAGCAGACTCGTACAATGAATTGTGGGCCTGCTTTTACCAGGGTGATAAATGTCTTTGAGTCATCAATACACGGAATATATTGTCCACCGTTTCCATGCAGCCACTCCCACTACTTCTTGGAGACTCTGGTTTGTAGTTGAGAAGACAGGAGTAGATGATGCTGAGCTTTTAGGTGGGGACACTGAAGATGAATGATAGGTAGACTAAATATATCATATTGAAACCTGCAGTGTGGGAACTTGCAAAACCTAAGCAAAAACGAGCCACTTCTATATCTTTCTTCAACACCACCATGTACCCTGCTCACTATGGTAATTCTTCGTCTTTATACTATCAAGATACTGGACAGAATACAAGTAACCATCAACAATCCATTTCTAATGCTGATCATGATACCCTTTATCGTCACCAAAATAGTGCATATATCTTGTTAGACAGAAAGTGTATGCAACTCGAAGCGGAATTGACAGCAGAAAAGTGCATGCATATGATATCTCACATGTGGTAGCTGACAAGTTATGTAGGAGACTGAATGAAAGACTCTTATATCAATTATCGCAACCTCCACCACCGCCTCTTGCACCCATGTCCATTGGCCCATCTGAAGGCACCAATCCACAATCTGTTCTGAAGTCGCTCGAGATACCTTCTTCGACAAATTTCCTCAAACGCTCCGAATATCCCAAGGTTGAGCAATGGACTGATGCCGAGTTACTCAGAACGTTAAGTGAACTGTGGTCATACAGTTCACGCTCTGGACTTTCTTGTCAATGCCCAGGGTGTTTGTTAAGATCATGTACACCGTGGAACCGTGCCAAGGCCACAAGGTGTCTAAGTGCGGAAGACGAGTGGGTGTCATGCCTTGCTTCTCCGGACCTTTCCCTTTCCTTTCCAGAGCTCCAGTTCATCACTTATACATGTTTCCGATATTCTATGCACCATCCTTACGATCTTTACTGTACATATTACCTGTCACTCCAGTAGCCACATGACATATGTACCTGACAGCCTCATGTACAGTATATAGGCTGGGGACTCCCCTCGGAGCTCCCCAGCGTGTTATTGTCAAATCTTACCTGGAAACTCTTCCTACCTGGCTTGGTCCCTTTAGTACAGTCTACTAGTACTTGCTAACAGGGCCTGACACGTCTCAACAGTCATATATTTCCTCATTATCTGTTTCCTTTATCTCTGTCTCACCTCAACTCTGTTTCTCCTCTCTGTTTCCTATCTCTGGCCTCTTTCTGTCAATCCTCGTATTGTCTACGCCTCTACTTTGACTCACCATCTACGTCGAGGCTCTACAATTTGTCCTTCATCCTTTGGAACCTCCCATTAGGTTCCCAATTCCGCTTCATTGCTCCCTAAGCTCCCCACAGCTTCCCACTCGTATCGGCTACACCTCCCCTCCACATCGAAGCGGTGGTTACGTGTTACGTTCTACACCTCCAGGACCCTCTATTAGGTCTACCCAAGCTCCACAACTACCCCTGGTTAGGCTCCCCTCACCAGTATCGGCACTATCCCATACCTCCTCGTACGGCCTAGGCGGCTACTGCGTTCGCTTAGGCCCAGTCTGGGTAAGACCAGAGCAGGCCTTCTGTGCCGGGGCCTCACATAATAACACGCTCAAAGGGAGTTCTCTCCAGTCCAGTTGTTGAGTAGGTCCATATACACCACTTGCCTCGCCTCCATGATTCCCACATACCTCCCCAAACCCAATTTCATCCCTTCCACCTCCCCATTCTTCACAAAGCTTCACTGGGACTGATTTGCCATTCGTCAGGAAGGGCCTCGAAGTATTGGCCCACTGCTATGGACATCTGGAACACCTCCCTCAGTGTCCCCAGAGCATACTGGTCAGTTTGCTAGACTCTCATTTCATGGGAGGAGCTTTCAACCAGTTTTGATATCCCCTGGAGCACCTCTGAAGCGTCCAGCTGGACCAAGAGCTATGCCTAAAAGACCCACCCAGGCCCAGGATCTATCCACAACGTCACAGGAACCTGGGACTGTACAGTGGTGCATTCCTGCCCTGCAGACAGTTCATAAGAACATCCCTATATGTCTCCAGGTGTCCAGAATCAGGCTTTCAGACCCTCCTCCTCGTCAAAAACCTCCCTGGATAGCTTCTTTCCATCAGGGCTGTGTCTTTGCACATTCCCAGGTGTCCAGGATCGCACTTTTGGACCCTCCTCCTCGTCAGAAACCCCCCTGGATAGCACCTTCTCACCAGAGCAGCTCTGATGATGCCCCAGAGCTGGAGGACGATCATGATTTGATGGAGGATTAGGAGCAGAAGAAGCTCCTTTCTTCCCTAAGGTACGATTTAACTTAATGATGATTTTGATTGCCTCTTCCCATTATATGTATCATAACTTTTTCGCTTCTGTTCGCATTTGGGACGTGCTTGGACCGCTGGAAAGCTTCCCATCATACCTTCCAAACGCCCCAACACCTGTGCCAATGTGTGTCCTCGTTCTGGAGATGTAGTCCATTCAGTGATTGCAGGTACATCGAGGAGAGGAGGTATTATAACTCCTTCGTTTCTATTCGCATTTCGGACGTGTTTGGACCACTGAAACGCTCCTTGTCATACCTTCCAACGCCCCAACAACTGTGCCAACATGTGGTCTCGTTCCGGAGATGTAGTCTATCCAGTGATTGCAGGTACATTGAAGAGAGGAGGTACTATCACTCCTTCGCTTCTGTTCGCATTTCGGACGTGTTTGGACCATTTTGCAGCCCTAGTCCACAGTTTCTAAATGCTGCTATGACCGTCTTATGGAGCTCCTCCGTTCCAGAGGAATGTGCCCCTCACTGTCAGCCAGTACTACGAGGAGAGGGGGTCCCATAACTTCTTCCATTCTCCTCGCATTCGGGACGTGTTTGAAGCGTTTGAGAACCCTGAACCAAAGCTTCCTAACGCACCTCTGACCGCCCTATGGAGCTGCTGCGTTCTAGAGGAATGTTGCCCTCCCTGTCAGTCAGTACTATGAGGAGAGGAGGTACCATAACTTCTTCGATTCTCCTCACATTCGAGACGTGCTCAGGGCATTGGGAAGCTCTACTCCATAGCTTCCCAACGCTGCCCTGATCGCTCTATGGAGATCCCCTGTCCCAGAGGAATGATCCTCTCACTGTCAGCCAGTACTACAAGGAGAGGAGGTACCATAACTTCTTCGATTCTCCTCGCATTTGGGATGTGTTCAGGGCGTTTAGAAGCTCTACTCCATAGCTTCCCAATGCTGCCTTGATCGCTCTATGGAGATCCCCTGTCCCAGAGGAATGATCCTCTCACTGTCAGCCAGTACTACGAGGAGAGGAGGTACCATAACTTCTTCGATTCTCCTCGCATTTGGGATGTGTTCAGGGCGTTTAGAGGCTCTAATCCTTAGCTTCCCAATGCTCCCTTGATCGCTCTATGGAAATCCCCCGTTCCGGAGGAATGCTCCCCTCACTGTCAGCCAGTACGACAAGGGGAGGAGGTGCCATAACTCCTTCAGTTCTCCTCGTGTCCAGGACGTGTTTGGACCATTTGGAAGCCCTATTCCGCAGCTTTCTAATGCCTCCCTAGCTGCTCCATAGAACTCTTTTGTTCGGGAGTGACACCCCCTCACTGTCAGTCAGTACCATGAGGAGAGGAGGTATGATAACTCCTTCAGCTCTGCTCGCATTGGGGATGTTCTTGGACTGTCTGGAAGCTCTGCTCTCTACCTTCTCAATGCCCCCTCGATCGCCCCATGGAGCTCCTTTGTTCTGGAGTGGTGTCCTCCTCATTGTCAGCCAGTACTATGAGAAGGGCAGGTACCACCACTCCTTCACTTTTGCTCACATTGGGGATGTTCTGGGGGCGTCAGGAAGTGCTTCTGGACCTCTTTCCAATGCTCTATCTGGTGTTCAGGTCAATGCCTGCATTCTGAGCTATCCTCCTGTCACTGTCCCCCTCACACCGAAACCTTTCCTATGGTACCTTCAACTTTATTTCCATGATTTATTTAAACTTTGTGACCATTTTCTACCTTCGCGGGCTCAGGTTTTAGAGGGGGGGGGGTACTACATTATACCAAGCTCTCCCGTCACCGAACGGACTCGTCGCGACGAAATGTCGGCGACGTCAACGGAACGACCTTCTAGTTCCAAAACCGAATCAAAGAAACAAAAGAGCGCCTTATCTCGTGGAAACACGACACAAGCTCAAAAATCGAACCAGGCTGCTAGCTCCACTGTCATCACGGTGGCAGCTGGTCAACGCCTGATGTCCATCCCAGAACAGTCGTTCGGGGATGAAACCGCCAGTAACATCCGGACCCCAGAGGGACGTCAACCGGAGGTTCAGGGGCCCCCTCCAGTGGAACCTGGGATGGGACCACCACAACGGAGGTTTACCTCCATGGGTTACGCCCAACCTGCCAGTAGTCCCATGGGAGGTTTCGCATACTCCCCTACCTGGGGAACGAGAGGACCTCCCCCTGGACCGATACCGCAGCTAGACATGGAGTCAGCTTCGAACGCGGGTGGAAGAGTCAGCGGTCAAGTAGCCGCTATCGAAAGGATACAAGGGGGGAGTACTGACCCTCTCACAGTACGACAACAGGAGAAACTTCCAGAGAGGAGGGTATCCCCTGCCGTATCCGAACAATCTCGGACGTCATCCCGGAGGTTACCAACACCTCCAGTACAGTCCCTTAACCTTCCTCCCCCGAGACGAGGAAGTTCACTCTCCAGTCTCCTGAAGAGCCCAGCTATGAATACGCCCAACTGGGAGCGTACACACGCAATACACCATAGCAGGACCAACTTCCCAGTACAACCCTTGTCCGAAATGACATTGCGTCTGGAAGACGTCATTCGAATTCAGGAGTGTATCCCGGAGGATGTAGCTATGGTCCTAAGGGAGGTATTGGAGTCAATGGGGATCGAAATATTGGGAGACGGTCTCGAATTCTCAGACCTACGAGTACAGTTCCTAACAGTGGGAACTCAACTGGAGATAGACCTCCCAGAGAAGGCCCAGCAGTGGCTGATGACCCCCGCGAACCGATCAGATTTTCTCTGGCTGTACAACGTCCTATTGGACCCAGAGAGGATGTTGGAACTGTTAGAGGCAGAGGCACGTTACGGGCGATCGTTCCGAAACTCGAGGGGAATACTTCCCCTCCTCCCTCATACCCATGGAAGGGAGAAGGAATTCT